TCTCCCTTTCCCATTTCAACAACAGGAGATGCCTTCTCCCTCCTGATCAGTTTTTTGTCTTCCCTGCCTACTGCGTTTCCCTGCATTCCAAAAGGAGTAGTACAACTGTTTACACATTTCTTGATTCTTGGATGACCAAGGCTCATATGAAACTCGGAAAATATTAGGGAAAGAAAACAGGGAGGAAAACATGAGGGAGAGTTTGCAGGAAACAAAGTATGTGGGGAAAATAAAAATAAAATTGTTCAAAGTCAATACATTTAGTTTTTACATTTGTTCAAACTCAATAGATTTAGTTTTTTATATGTGTTCACTCATTTTATGTATTCATTTCTATTAAATAAAGACTAGTAATTTGTAAATATAAACCCTAGAAAAAAGATTAAAAAAATAATCAAATTTGAGTCTTTTATGCATTTTCCCAAGTAAAACCAAACTCAACAAAATAAGAAGCAATTCTTTTCTTATTCCCTAGCACATTCATTGATCAAAACATACCACAAGTCAAAACGACATCAGACCCCTAATGCAGAGGATGGATAAAGAGCCACATAGCACATAACTCGTGAAAATAAAGGTGTGTTGGTTCAGACTGAGGGTTTGGGAGGAGAGGAGATTTCGGCTTTGGAGGCCAAAGTCTATATCTTGATATATAATTAAGATTTCATAAAATTAATGGAAAACGTAATACATGCATTTCAGCCACCCTTTAATCCTTTATTGGGTAAGCGAAATATTCTATTCATCAAGAATTAAATATAGATCACAACAACAACATACCAGAGTGGAGAAAATTGTAGAGCCAAATCCCTGCTGAAGCATGCATGCAGCATATCCTATCACTACAGCACCTATGACCATAAAAATATCTGCAAAAAGGAAACTGCAGATTATGGACCAAGTTTTAAATAAAATCCCTATATAGAGCCCCATTTATTCACATCGTCTGGGGGATCGAACCTATAGATGAGACGGAACTTTGCTCATAGTCACAATCCTCTTGATAAAGGGAGATTTGCCTTATGGCTGCATTTCCTCTATCAACAATCAACAATGAACACGTTTGCTGGACATATACCACATCAAAGTCATTTGAGAATTGGGCTTCGTCACTTGGCCCATCTCTATACCCTGCGGTGTGGGACTTCCCTCCAGCAATCGTTGTCACACCCGATTCTCCTATCTTTCTTATGGCAAGATTTGATGTATCAGCAACATAGACATTCCCTTTATCATCCATGACAACTCCTCTTGGATTATTGAAACGGGCTTCATTTGGTTTCCCATCAACATGTCCTTTATGACCTTTAAATGAACCAGCAACCAATCTTGCCCTACAATCTGCATCAATCGCCACATTTCAATTCCAAAAAACTACTCTGTTAATTTCATCAGACACACATCCCATAATTGAACGACTATATTCCACTTGGGCGAAAAATCCATGATTCGAACTGAAGTAGTTTTCTGAGACCCCGCCTAGTAACATTAATCGGGTATTCTGCTTAATATTCTTGTAAGCAAATCATGATCCTGTTTGGTAAGAGTTATTTGGATGAAATAGTTGAATTTTATGAAAGTAAAAGCATTTGGTAAATTTGATTTGAGCCATTTAAGTATATCAAAGGGATACTTGTTCTAATTACTCTGCTGAAAAGCAGAACGTATCAATAATGCTGCCAACAGGACCTACGTATCATTTGACTTAGTTTCCTTTCCAGCAGTATTCATCGATTTAAGCATTTGTCAATTAGTGTCCTCCCAACTAAATAAACCCAAATGTCAAATGAAAGGGGAGAATAAAACAGTGCTAACCAATTGTCATTTAGTGTCCTTCTCCCAATTAATTGAACGCACTACAATGAAGTCAATGATAAACTATGGGAATTCAAAGCTCAATAGAGAACACTATATTGAGAAAAGTATGAGAGAAATGAAGGAGGTACGGGAGAAGCTTACATTGGGACAACGGGGGAGTAATCTTAACAATGTTGTTCCGAGAAGCATCCACTGCAACTAGTTCACCATCCTGTGAGACACGAATCTTGTAAGGCGCAACCCCAAGTTCATTTCCTCGGACCACAGTTTCAACCAAGTACCCGTCTTCAAATTGAAGTACACTCCCACCTTCTGTATACCCACAATAGAAGCACAAGCAACAAATTTCACCGCAAATCTCAATATCAATTCAATAAAAACCATATTTCAAGCATCACAACTACACAAACCTTCCTAAGCATTATACTGAAACACTACATATACTCACACATAGGCGAATTACAACAAATTCCAAATGAGCTTACCTGATTGGGGAACCTTGGAAGAAGAAGTCCTGCTAGTCAATTTGAACAGAGAACTCAAGTGCTTTATCAGAGGCCCTGAAATCGAAACAAAATTACACGCTGAATAGAGAGTTCGTGCAACGAACTAAACAGATCAATCAATTTCCTCATACTGGGAGAGGGAGGGGGGAGGTTACCAGCTGGAGCAGCAGCAAAGACTTGAAAATGAAGAGAAAGACAGAATAGGGCGAGGAGAGAGAGCAGGAAAAAGGAAACCCTCATGGTCTCTGTCAATTTGAAAAGTAGAAACAGCTAATGAAGAGAGAAAGGGATCAGAAAAAGAGTGAAAATTGGATTGAAAGAACAAAATGCAGATGAAGAATGCAAAAGGAGCACATCAATTGCTTTTTGTGTGCTCTGTGAAAATGCAAAAAGTTTAGCTGGAGAGACAGCTAAAATGAAGCTTTTAGACCATCAAAAGCGCAATTCCAGTGAAGTCAAGTTCCATTAAAATATACTCCGTATTTATATACTTTATGGTAGTAAATTTGTGATAATTGCACAATAAAAAACTTGTGAGAAAGTCTAAAACCCAATCTCACTGTGTTAATAAGAGAACCCAAAAATGACGCCAGGCGAGAAAAGGAGAGGAAGTGTCACTGGTACTCTGGTAGCTGAGAAAGAGAAATGGTCTATCTTCATTAATAAAGAGAATCGAGAGAAGAAAACAAACCCAGAATTGCAAGGTTCCGTTCTTATTTACGGATTATTTTTAATGACTTGGTTTAAGTGTCCCATCTCTTCCTGAATCCGGACAAGATGACACCTAACATAAGAATCTAAGTTGAATTTTAGAAATGAAATACGTAGTGCCTGTTTATTAACAAGATGTTTTGAGTTTTTTTTCTATTTTTTGTTCTCGTATTTTCATTTTTCAGTTTTTCTATCTTCAATTTTCTATTTTCATTTTTTTGTTTGCCATTTTCATATCTAAATACATGTTTATCAATTTTTTTCACCCTATTCTGTGACCGAACAGAAGACCAAAAGTAAGGTTCCAGTCCGGAATCGAAACTAGTAAAATCCAAGTATGGTGGTACCAGGTCCCCCGTATAGGAAATTCGGGACTTAAACCGGCCGGTCCCGGTCTATCTCAACGGTTAGTTTAACTAATTCTTTTCCCATTTTCGTATTGGTTGACAACTCAACGATTCTTTTAAAAAATTTCAATTTAAAAAGTATTTAAAAAAACCAATTCCGAAGTACCGGGTCATTGACCGATCCGGACAGAGATTATCGGGTTGTAGATGGGACCAGTCCGGGACCGCTCGGTTGTCGATCAGACCGAACATAGACTGTCAGGTCATTGGCCAGACTGGATGGGGACCGTCGGATCGTTGACCAGACAGGACGGGGACTGTCGGGTCATTGACCGAACAATACGAGGATCGGTGAGTCGTTGACCAAACCAAATCAAATCGGGACTGCCCGACCGTCGACGAGACCGAATAGGTACCGCTTGGTCGTGGATCGTACCAGGCAGGGGCCACTAAGTCTTGTATCGGACTGGACGACAAGGACCGTTGGATTGTGAACCAGACCGAACAGGGACCGCCGAGTCTTGTACTACCTCCGTCCCGCTATGATTGTCCCATTTTACCTTATCGGTCTGTCCCACTAAGATTGTCTCATACCAAATTGGTAAAGTTTGTGTGGCTCTAAATCATTCTTACTTTATTCTTACTTTATCAATTCAATATCAACCACATAAACCACTTTTTATTAATTTGCGTGTCACTCCCTCTTGTCTCATTGTTAGCGGGACGGAGAGAGTAATATTTATGACATAACTCATATTGTTATTTCTATGTATTATTCTCTCTATCCTGTTCAAAGGTTACATTTTTCTTTTTTGTGCATCTCAATCGGTTCTCATTTTCTATTTTAGGAAATAGTTAACCTTCTTAAATGATAATTTAATCATCAAATATGAGATAATATATTATTAATGTCACAGATATCATCAATACATTACTATATTATATACTCCTCAAAATTGTTTCTCAAAATATATTTAAATTAATAGATTTAGTTATTGTCTAAATAATTATGTTATTTTGCAATTGCACTTTTAAATGGGACATAGATAATAACGTTTAAGACAATTATCAAGCATCTTGTTGTTCGATGACAGTGCCCCGGTGGTCCGACCGTCATCAAGCCACCTATCACCGATCGCCGGATATTTTTACCATATTATCACTGCTGATTTTCAAGAGTTCCACCATCGTCGTCCACCTTCTTCGGAGTTCGCCGCCAAGTTCTCACCACTAACAGACTAATGCATTACTAACTTACTGTTCTTGGTTATGCAATCGAATCAATAGGACAATTATTATTTTATTAATTAATTAATTAAATTAGGGGCAGAAAATTTGTTCCATTTAAGCAAAATCAAACATACTTCCTCCGTTGTTTTTTAGTTGCAACGATCAACATTTCACATTTGCCAACGCACGTCTTTGACCGTAATTATATCTTAATTTTATTAGTAAAAAAATATTAAAAATCAGATTTTGAAAATTTGTAATGAGATGAATTGAACAATATTTTTTAAAAAAATAATTTTCATAAAATAATAGGGTAAAATGTAGTCAAATGTGGTGTTTGGATAGCAGCGGATTAACCAAACCGCCATTGTTTTAATGAAGGAAAACGTCGGTATTTCCAACGGATTAACTACAACCCGCCAATAAACAAACAACTCCAAAGTAGAACATGTGAATAATGTAAAATTCAAGATGTTACTATTAAAACAACACGGTATACCGTGAAAAAAACTAGAAAACCTCACTCTAGTCATGAACATCCTTAATCATTATAGGGATGTTTATATTACTTTTTTAGATTTTTTTTCTGCCCCTACAAGGAGTAAGTCGGATCTTGAAAGTGCAGAAATATTTTTTTAGAATCAATCTAACGAAAGACTAATTTCTGAAAAAGCAATTGTGATTAAAGAATCAATTCCAAAATATCCTCACATAGTCCACATGTTCGTGATCTGTATCTTTGTCCACCTATTCTTATCATCATCACCAGAAGACATTAGGAGATACATACACCCTATCTCTTAGTAGCCACTCCCATGGCGTTCGAATCGTGCAGCAAGAGGCGGCAGCAGCAGCTTCACTTTATCTTGTTCCCTCTAATGGCTCCTGGCCATATGATCCCAATGGTAGATATCGCTAAGTTACTAGCGCAGCGTTGCGGCGTCGCCGTCACCATCTTAACCACCCCTGTCAACGCCAACCGCTTCCGGACAACCCTGTCTCGTGCCGTAAGTTCCGGCCTGAAAATCCAACTACTTGAGCTCAGATTCCCCACCTCAGAATCAGGGCTGCCTGAAGGGTGCGAGAATATCGACCTACTTCCTTCCCTAGACATGGCGCCTAAATTCTTGGCGGCCATCAACACACTCCGGCAAGAGGCGGAACAGGTGCTGGAACGGCTTGATCCGCCGCCAAATTGCCTCATTTCAGACATGGGGCTGCCGTGGACGGCGGAGATAGCTCTGGGTCTCAACATCCCCCGCCTTGTTTTCCACGGAACGTGCTGCTTCTCCCTCCTATGCAATCACAGAATAATGGAATCCAAGATTCTTGATAGTTTGGAGTCTGATTCGGACCCATTCGTCGTTCCTGACCTGCCGGACATGGTTGAGTTCACTAAAGCTCAGGTCTCGAGCTCTTCGAAGAAGACTTCTCATGGCACTCCCAATTACGCTCTAATGGAAGAATTCAAGAAGAAGTTTCTGGCCGCGGAGAAGGCAACCTACGGAGTGGTCGTCAACAGCTTCGAGGAATTGGAACCCGAATACGCCAGAGAGTATAGCAAGGAGAAGCAGGGGAAAGTATGGTGCATCGGCCCTGTTTCCCTTTACAGCTCGTCGGAGGACAAAGACCACGCCGCCGTGAGAGGCGACGAGACCGCCGCGACTAACCAAGACTGCCTCAAGTGGCTGGAATCCCACGAGCCAGAATCGGTAGTGTACGCAAGCTTGGGAAGCTTGGCTAGGCCAAATGTCGAACAGATGGCGGACATGGGCCTGGGATTAGAATCAACGGGAAGACCCTTCATCTGGGTGCTGGGAAGAGGCCGCAATGTGAGCGGCATAGAGGAATGGATTGCCATGACCGGATTCGAGGAAAGGAACAAAGAGAAGGGGATGGTGGTTCGCGGGTGGGCTCCTCAGATCCCGATCCTCTCCCACCCATCGGTCGGCGGGTTCTTGACCCACTGCGGGTGGAACTCAGTGCTGGAAGGGATTGCCGCCGGCGTGCCGATGGCAACGTGGCCACTCTTCGCCGAGCAATTCTGTAACGATAAACTGGTGGTGCAGGTTTTGGGGGTGGGGGTGAGCGTTGGGGCGGAGGTGCCGGTCAAGTGGGGAGAAGAAGAAGAGGTTGGAGTTTTGGTGAAGAAGGATGACAATAAGAGAGCAGTGGAGAAAGTAATGGGAGAGGAAGGGAAAGAGATGAGGAGGAAGGCAAGGGAGGCGGGTGAATTGGCTCGCATGGCGATCCAGGAGTCTGGTGGTTCTTCTGCTCTCAACTTGACCTCCTTGATCCAAGAAATGTCAAGTATAAATATGTAATTGTGACAATGATGGTGATGATGAGGGATCATCTTAAAATGTACAGAAGATGTGCCTTTAAGGGAGTAACCGGGTGTAATTTAGTGGCATATCAATCTCGGTTCCATGCCAATATAATTACAAAAAACGGTTTATACTCCCTCACTTTTGTAACCACTCCCTATTTTACTTGTGCACACACGTGATTCTTTAAGAACAAAGTAATTGTCTGTGTACACAGACAAGATAAGGGGTGAGTACAACAAGAATAACTCATATAATTATGAAATAAAGGTATATAGATGTTTTGATTTCGTATGATTCAATTTGAACTTGTTATCCTCGAGTACGATAGTACTCCCTCCGTCCCTGAATTATCTTCAAACTTTCCTTTTTCGTTCGTCCCAAAATTATCCCATCCTTCCCTTTTTGGCAAAGAATTTGTGGTTCACAATCATTCTTACACATTCTTACACATTTCTCTCTCCTCTGCACAACTCTTCACCACACAAAACCCACTATCTTAATAAATGTGCCCAGCCGAAATGGGAGATAAAACAGGGACGGAGGGAGTACGTTGTATGAAAGGTTTATTGATTTTCTAGTTCATTCCGAATTTGTTCGGTTTTGTCAGTTATAATACGGTTTGAAAGAAATATTACAGAAGTCGAATCAAATTACATATGGTTAAATTTTGATTCGGTTCACTTTGGCATGGTTCGATTTAGTTAACCCAATCAATACACTCACCTTGGTAAATTGTTTCATTTAAAAATATAGGTATTGCTTTTTTACGACAATTCTCACTACATATCACATGAGACCCTCACCTAGCTTGTGTTGATGTATTTCATACGGAGTAAATTTTTCACACCATAACCTTCGTGTCAATCACGTAGTATAAATTATAACCATTGTGTCAATTAATAATATTTCAATTTAAATTTAAGTAATATTTTTGGTTCTCTATTTGCAATTACATCTAAGTCTTTTAACAAGATGGATTCAATTAATGTTTATCAAGCGACAAATTAACAAATTATAGCATTTGAATGTTTTCTATACTCCTCAAATCATATTTACTAATGCTTCACGTGTGGTCGGTTTGATGGTTACTACATTTTCGTCATGTCATGTATAAATCAGGATTGTAACAGGGATAATGATACCAAAATTAATTATATTGTTGAAAATAAATCTAATACTTTTAATAAATTATGGATATGGAGCCAATAGGACCGGTATCAATGAACTATAGGCATCATACACTGAGGAAAGGGCCGATATGACTCTCCAAGTAACCTCATTTGATTCGTGGGAAAGAAGTTTGAACTTTGAAAATGGCGAGGTTAGAGGTAAGACTCGCGCAATCGACCAATCCTCTCTTCGAATCTCACGTATCTCTCAATTTCCTCACCGGTAAACTCTGTTGACTTCTAATTTTTCGGAAACCCAGGATATTCATGGACTAAGCAGCGCTGATTGATCTGGAACCGATTCAGAGAGCGATGTTCCAAGCCTCACCGCCCACGTGGCAGTCTGCCATTCTCAGCAACATCATCTTTTTTATGGTGGGTAGCCCAATTATTGTCACTGGACTCTCTCTTTCCGGCATAGTGGCTGCTTTCATGCTCGGAGTTCTCACTTGGCGCGCTTTTGGACCCTCTGGCTTTCTTCTCGTGGCAACATATTTCGTAATTGTAAGCCCATTATTAAATCTTTCTTCTTCATTCAATTGGGGGAGGGGGGAGGGGGGGGGGGGGGGGGGGGATTTGAGAATTGAGATTAAGGTGTGAATTGCAGTAAAATATTATTGACCGTAAATGTAAAATATTGTTTGAAGGGAGATTAAGTTAGCTGAGCATTCAAAAGTTACGCACGAGAAAAACTTATCAGTTATCCTCCTAAAACTTCGATCTAGGAGTTTCCCAGAACTGGATTGATGAAGGTTCTCCAAAAACCTACTTTTTTTCATGAAGTACTAAATCAAACGAGGAATGCATATATCAAATGTAGAAAAACCTTAGACTCAAGCAAACTGATGTTTATGTAAGAGCTTTTCATGCATATCCTAATATCCTTGCACTTTCTTTTTGGTTCTGTGTTTTGCCTTTCACATTGCTATTTATGAAGAACTGTTATGATATGCTAGTCATTGTACATTCTGAAGTCCATATGGCTATCTTTGAATTTGAGGAAGGAATTATAGTTCATCATAATAAGACTAAAGCAAAACTATTTTCTTCAAATATGACTACTATGCTTTTTAATCCTAAGAAACTATTTATTTGGTGATAGATAAAGAAAATCAACAAAACGAATAAAGAAGATTGTTGCATATAGAAAGTTATAAAAAAGAAATATTATGTTTGTGGTCGTGTTTAGAGAAAGACTATGTTTTGGTCATATTACTCATATATAGATATATTTCCCTTTGAGAAAAAAAACAAGCCATTTCTAGAAGACAGTTATGAAGAATGCATAAAATACTTGAATGATTATGTTGTCGTTTGCTTGTATTTAAGAATGCTGTTTGAGCGAATGTAAGTTTATCAGGGCACAGGAGTGACTAGAGTGAAAATGGCAGAGAAGGAAGCTGAGGGTGTTGCAGAGAAGAGGAAAGGAAGAAGAGGGCCAGGGAGTGTGATTGGTTCCAGCGCGGCTGGTTGCATTTGTGCTTTCCTGACAATTAACAGGATTGGTGGGGCCGTATTCTCCCGGTTATGGGACCTTGGTTTTGTAGCTAGTTTCTGCACTAAATTGAGTGATACCGTCTCAAGTGAGATAGGGAAAGCATATGGTAAAACCACGTCAGTACTACTGCCCATAACCTCTCCTGTGTCTATTACCCTGGACAAAATTTATATACTAGCAATTTGATCACTATATTACATTAGTAATATTATGCATAATTGCATATGCTCCTTATTTTAACATTTCTAAATTAGAAATCACATATAGAGAAATAAAAAGCCTAAGATATGCCCTTAGTCTTGTTTGACTAAGTACTTAAGTAGAAATTTAAAATTTTGGTTAGGTACAACTGCAATAAAATCATGAATCATTTTTATATTTTTAAATTTGCTTGTCACTTTAACTAAATTTATAATATGTGACTTGTATGTGACTTTTTTTACGATACTTTTAATTTAAGAGTACATAAAAATAGCTTCATTTGGTTGACCTTGACTCTTTTTGGCACAAAAAGATTGTTTCAAACAATTTTTTTTTTAGAATGGGAGCAATAAGCATTCGTTTTAGAAACTTAGGATTTTCTTTTATCATATTGAATCTTTAATTTAGTTTCCTTCCACAGCAAATATTCAAGGCACAAAGTTTTTTATGTGCACCTAATTCACCCTCTCTTAGACTGCAAACCTCCTTTGAGGCAAAACCTTTTTTGGGTACAAAAAAGATTGTTTCAAACAAGCTTTTTTTAGTCATTTTGAGTTTTCAATGAAAACTGACATGCAATGGTACTTCAATTGCAGATACCTCATTCCAACGTTGAGGGTAGTTCCAAGGGGAACAGAAGGGGGTATAAGTGTTGAAGGGACTTTTGCTGGACTTTTAGCTTCACTTATCCTTGCTTCCATTTCTTGTATAATGGGTCAGGTGTGGCTCATAATGACACATGATATCTTGATAACCATGCTCATTGTACCTGTTCTTTTTTGTGTTTTCATGTTTTCCTATGGGGAAAATACTAAAGAATACTCCCTCCGTCCCATTAAACTTTGCAAACTTTCCTTTTTTGGTTGTCCCAACAAACTTTGACACTTTCCTATTAAAGCAACTAATTTGTGGTTTTGCACATTTCTATCTCCTCTGCACAAATCTCAACCACACAGTTTTTACTATTCTTATTTCTCACCTACTTTGTACTTGGTAAAGTCCACCGGGACGGAGGTAGTACAAAAAGTTCTAGTTAGGGAAAGTGCCAATGGAAACACTTGATTTAGCGGATTGATTTGGTAACTTTTTTATGAAACTTGGGGCAAGATTCAGAACTTCCGACAGGCTGCTGAGTCTATGCTATGCTATGTTATTGAACACATAACGCATTATTTATTGAGTAATTCAACACAACATCATTGTGTGAAGTACTAAAATGTAAACTCTGTGACATAACCACTATATCCTCAGTAGTGTAGTCCGGAATCCGAAAGTTCAAATACTTAACAAATTAACATAGAGATATGTAAATATATATTGAAAAAAATCATGGGGATATATAATATATACAACAACAACATCCAAGCCTTAATCCCAAAAGAAATTAGGGTCTGCTAACATGAATCGATATATGATATCGATGCCAAACAGAGAGACAGACGGGGAGGGGGGGTAAGATACAACAACAACATCCAAGCCTTAGTCCCAAAAGATATTGGGGTCAGCTAACATGAATCGATACATGATATCACCCCCCAAAAGAAAAAGAAAGAAAATAAAGATACAAAAGATAAGATAAGATAAAAAGAGATGAATATACATAAAAATGATAAAATAAAAGGATACAAATAATGTTTATTGATAGAACTATACATTAATTCTGGCAATTCTAGAATGAGAACAAGAAAGCAATCTGCAATTTTATTACTGGTAAACAAGAACAATACAATGGCCAAAGCCCCCAAATGAGCTGAAGCCCCCCAAAAGAGAGAGAATAAACTCAATCTTCCCGGTAAAGACTAAAACGTCAAACAGCCTACTTTACTTCTCCCAGCTTATTCTATTTATACTAATCTAGTACACTTATTATTATTCTTGGTCTATTAGGCCCCATTCCTAACAGTACTCCCCCCTAAACATCCACCTTGCCCTCAAGGTGGGTGATAGGAAATAGCCAAAATCTTCTGTTTTTCCTTCATCCTAGCACCTCTCCATTTCCTATACTTGATTGATTGTTGGCCCTTTTGCTTTGCTACTTCCATCTTCTTCCATATGTATTTCACCGCAGATTTACACATATGTCAGGGCATTTTAACCAGGAATTTTATTCCTTCAGGTTCTGTGGAGCCATCAAGTATACTAGTCTGGATCAGACTGGATAGTAGCATCCCAAAAATTGGTTCTCACTATCAGTAGATAACCCATGATAGTTCAGCAAATTCCTTTCCACATTCTTATTTACCAGGCTCTTCATCTCCTTTTGAGTTCCCAATTGACTTACTGGAGGATCTTCTTGTATAATTACCTTCTGCCCATGTACCTCCCGCTTAATGGTTTGATTTTTTTTCCCACTTAATGGTTTGATTTTGGAAGTTAATCTCTGACATCAATCGTCCACACGGATGTGCATCCTCCACTTTGCTCTCTCCAAAGCCATACTCTCATCCAACCTAAGAAGACACATATCAGTTTTGATTC